CATGTGAGTATGTGGATATGTGGGGTGTGGGTGGATATGGGGTTTGTGAGGGACTGTGTGGGGGAGGAGGGTGGTTGAGATGTGTGAAGGGGTGTTGGTATGGGGGTCTGCGTGTATGGCAGTGCGACGGGAGGTGTTGGTGCATGTGTACAGTGGGGTGTGCGTGTGGGACTCACCCTATCAACACATACAAATACACACAGTCTCTCTCCCTACCCACACATACGCACATCCTGGGTACTGACGTGGCCCTGTGTTTCCCTGTTTGGTGATACAGCCAAGAGCCACGTGGTGCTGGAGCAGTGCAGAGGCAGGAAGGCAGAGAAATGGCAGGGGTGGGGCGGGACTGGGCTGCTGCATTTGTGCTGAGGCCCCCCTGGGTCCTACTACCTCTGGCTCCTGTCATCCTTGATAGGCAGCCAGGAGCAGATAAATATTTTGTCAATTTTTCAGGGGCCTCGCAGGCCGGACAGCATGGCCTGGCAGGCCAGATCCAGCCTGTGGTCCACTTTTTGCCTACCCATGCTCTAGCAGGATCCAGCTTTTATCCTTGGTTTCTCCATTGATTTTACTCCCAGATCAACTGGGATTGTTTTATTTTTCCGGTGAATAATACTGGAAAAAACTCACTGAAGATTTTGAGAATGTGAAGATGAGGACAATATTTGGATAGATCAGAACATCCAGAAAGATGTGTCATTTACTCATTTTAGTAGTTTGCTATGAAACAGCATTGGCACCTCCTGATTCAACTGCCCACTGTCTGTGCAGTCAATGTACCAACTAAATTTCAGCTGTGGGATAGTATCATTGAACTTACAACACACTGGATCTCAAGCCATTCTTTCCAAAGGCTTCCCCTCAAACCCTTCTCAATGCCTTTTGTTAAATACTGAACTTTTTCAAAACAAACTGGAAAAGAACTGCTATTACTTTAAAAATACTTTGGAATATAACTAGCAGAAAATAGCTAGCAGAAGTTTCCAGATCACAGGCCCAGGTTCTCACGGGGGACTCCAATCACCCTGGCATCTGCTGGCAGGACAATACAGCAGTGCGCAGGCAATCCAGGAAATTTTTGGAGTCTTGGGGACAACTTCCTGGTGCAAGTGCTGAAGAGGCCAAGTAGGGGCTGTGCTTTTCTTGGCCTCCTGCTCACAAACAGGAAAGATTTGGTGGGGAATGTAATGGATAGCAACTTGGGCAGCAGTGACAATGAGATGACTGAGTTCAGGATCCTGAGGAAAGGAAGGAAGGAGAGCACCCAAGTAAGTACCCTGGACTTCAGAAAAGCAGACTGACTCAGGGAACTGATGGACAGAATGCTTTGGGAAGCCAGTCTGAGGGGGAAAGGAGACCAGAAGAGCTGGTTGTATTTTAAAGAAACCTTACTGAGGGCACAGGAATGAACCATCCTGATATGCAGGAGGACTAGCAAGAATGTCAGAAGACCAGCTTGACTTAACAGGGAGGTCTTCAGTGAGCCAAAACACAATAATGAAGCTTCTTACAAGAAGTGGAAACTTGGACAAACAACTAGGGGGGAGTATACGTGCAACTGGAGTTGCAGCTAACAAGGGACGTGAAGGGTAACAAGAAGGGCTTTTACAAGTAAGTCAGCAACAAGAGGAAGATCAGGGAAAGTGTGGGTCCCTTACTGAATGGAGGAGGCAAACTAATGCCTTTTTCACCTCAGTTGTCATATCAAGATCAGCTCCCAGACTACTGTACCTGGGAGCACATTCTGAGAAGGATGTGAGCAGCCAACAGTGGCAAAAGGACAGGTTGGGGACTATGTAGTAGGGTTGTGTGAAGCTTCGGTAGCTGATTCGATTCAGAGGAGATTCAGCCCAATCTGGGGACTGAATCTCCAAATATGAATCAAATCAGGAGACCAATTAAAAGCTCCAAATCAATTTGAAGCATCAAAATCAATTCAGAAAAGCTTTGGAAAAGATTTGGCTGCTTTGGACATTCAGCCATAGACTAAATAGGCAGCTGACAGCTGCCTCCAGCTGATAAGTCTGTTGAGGTTGGGGAAGGAAGGGGTG